CCAAGCCGAAGTAGGGTGTTGACTTAGGGGACACCACCCCGAGCCTTTGGCTGAATAGCCTGTCCGCAAGGCAGCGGAGCGAATTCAGGGAATCGCGCCCATTGGGAGCCGGTGACTGATTGCTCAGTTCATACGTCTTTCGTTTGTTCCTTTGTCAAACAGGGGCCCAATGCTCCCCAGAAGTACAGCATGACGTTGCTGGAATACTATGCTTCGCCAGGATGAAGCAAGGGGCAGTGACTTTATTTAGTGGCGAGTCACGTCCGCCACGCCACAGTGTTGTTAAACGGACATATGTGGCTTTTTATAGGGAGAACGCTTGCCAGGCGAAAACCCACCACGTCCTGGAACACTGCCGCTGAACCAATTGCTGGAACGGGAAAATCCCGAACCACCCAGCTGACACCACGAGGAGGTTGTTCGGCAAGCCAGCCATGCAAGTAGACCCCCGAAGGAAGACATATACCAATACCGGCTCAACTATTTCAACAAGGGGGAGGTGTTAGGTCTCGAACGGCCTGCTCCAAGGAAAATCGCGTTGTCTGAAAATCAAGTCGAGTTGGCGCCACTGATTCAGGCCAAATCTTGTAACTTGGCTGGAAAAACAGAATTTCACACAGACCAAAGTCAAGTGCGCACAGAAATGAAACAAATTGACTTGTTCGGAAAGGTAAGTGCGCGATTTCCCACAAGGAACCGTGTGCCTTGCATTAGAACAGTCTTAGTTACAAGCAGACTAGTGTTTTTCCATGTTTCAGAACATTCGTTACTACCGCTTGTTACATACCCCTCACACGACCCGTGGTTCTTTGAGATCGATAAATTCAAACTAGCCCTCAGCCATGATTGGAACTAGACTTAGAGTGTTTTCATACCCACACCGGCCCGTGTAGTGTTCTGCAAATATACCTCCTGTCCGGTGCGTTGTCTTTTTAACTCGTGGGGTGCAATCTAAGAAGTCGAACGCCTGGGGACACAACAGATGACAGTTCCATTGTTGGCATGTTTAGTGATCTGATCCCACTCGCCAAGAAGATCATTCCACTTCGTTTTGCCAGAGTGCCATCTCTCATTTGGAGCAGAACTCGGAAACGCATGGCGTGCGTACAAAGCTAACCCTAGTCCTGACAACTGGAGCCAACTATTTAGTGATACACAACCTCTGTCCATGTGGACAAGTTAGTACATCAGCAGTGCTTAGCGCAAAGGTTTTGTAGTTATAACAAGCCACTGTACAAACAAATGAAAAACCTCCGGGAAGTGAAGTATGGCATTCACTCACTCATTTTAGCAAACTGATGTGCTCAAGTCGCCGATGATGCGGTAAACCTTCAACGGCTACAATATTCTCCAATATTCCCACGCGCCACCAGCATGTGTCACATACCTGTTCTAATGTTTCAAACGCCAAGATTTATCAACGTCACTCCTAATTCAGCGATTGTTTTTAGAAAGCTGCTATTGTAACGCACCCGTAGTTCTCCCGGAACGGAAAATATTCACCCGAAAGTAGTGCAAGTGGCAGCTGCGAAGATAGTGAACAATGATTTTATACTGGTCAAGAAGCATTGCTTTACAGGCCTCGTTGGGTGGTCTGATGCGTCAGCGGAAAACGTTGATGAAAAAAGCAGTTAGTAGTTTCACTGTCAAAATAGTGGACTTAACGTTTTGACTCAGTAGTCCTACACTCCGAGTGTTTCCATAGCTTCAATAGGTGAAAAAATAAATTCAAGCTATTTCCAGGAGTAGGATAGAGAGTAGCGTCAATTAACAAAATGTAACTTGCGGAGTGCGTTATCCAACCGGCTTTTAAAAATGTCTAGCGTGGGTGCTGAAACAACAGATTCCGGGAAAGCGTTCCATAGTTGACACACACGAATGAAAAAGAAGTTTCTACGACACACCAGGCGGCTTTATTGTTCTGCTAATTTCAAGGAGTGGCCTCTAAGTTTGGCGTTACTGCTGAGTTGCAGTAAAGAGCGACACACATGATTTGAATTGTGTACAAGTCACCTCATAGTCGGTGATACCTCCCGTTGAATACTCCAAACCGTTTCAGCCTCTGCTTGTACGGAAGATGGCGCATTCCAATAATGTATTTAAATTCCCGAGGTTGAGGTTGGTCCAGTACAGTGCGGTCGTGCTTCAGTCATGGCTGCCAGGCTTGAATTGCGTATTCGACATGGGGACGAACATACGCATTCATCATCTGTCTGGAAGTAGTGGTGTTTACTTGTCCGAACACCCGTTCTAGCAAGCCGACGTGCTGATTACCAGTTTTCGAAGCCTTTGCGCATTACTTGGAACAACCCAAGGTCACATTCAACGGAAGTTTGCTTCAGTGCTTGCGTTTTGAGCCTGTTGGAGTATAAGTACCCATGCCTCGTATGGAAAGTACCTTGCTTTTACTTACCTTGAACTGCAACACCTTTTGGGTTTACCACTGATATACGATATTTAGGTCACAATGAAGTGCCTACTGATCGGCATCCGCATGAATCCGGAGCCATATCTTGATATCGTCAGCGAACAGTAGGAAATTTGGAGCGATATTCCGTGCAAGGTGATTGATGAAACAAACAATTAGGTACCTAGAACTGAGCCGTGGGGCACACCAGACTCGACTGGTATGGGTTCAGATAGGGAACTCCGGAATCGTAATACTAATCGTCGTTGCAGGCGAAAGTTGGTGATTCAGCTCAAGAGAGGGTCACCGATCCCATAGTATTGGAGCTTGGAAAGGAGAATCCGATGATCTAAACCATGGAACGCCTTGGACAAATCCAAGTAGATCACATCAACGACTTCTTTAGCATCACCTGAGTCGGTTCAACTACTCCGCGCGAGTAATAACTTCGTCGTGTATGATCGCTGTCGACGAAATCCGCGGTGCTTGGGAGCAATAATGTTACAATTTTCTAGTTAACACACTAACGCATTGGCAACGATGGATTCTATGACCTTGGATAATACAGGGAGAAGGGATAGTGGGCGGTGGTTTGAGGGCTCCGTCCTGCTTCCGCCTTCGTGAATCAGAGTTATTATTCCAAATTTCCGCATCACAGGTATCTGGTTCTGATGCAAGCAGCGCTGAAAGAACTGTGCCAAAGGTTTTGCCATTTGTCTTGCTGTTACTCCCAGTGTCTCTGGGCGAATGATGTCGACTTCCGGGGAGCTGTTATTGCGCAGAGACTTCGGCTTCCGCAAAACAGCTTAGGCAGTAAAAGAGATGTGAATGAGTTCAGGTGGCGGGAAAATCAAAGTTGGATGATGGCCTGATGGTAAGACCCTTTGAAAGGTGGGAGTATATTGCGTCTGCAACGCGTTTGCTGCTTCTATGGCTGTTCTAATTGGACCATCATTCGTCCAGAGAGGAGGAATTCCCTGCCTTACCTTACGACGTCCATTGACATACTTCTACAGCAGTTTGTGATAAGCGGTAAGTTTTCGCCATATTCTGCTAATACCCGAGCCATTAACTCGGTCCTTGCAAAGTTGAATGAATTAACAGCAATTCCATGCCACGAAAGCACGCTGTTATTATACCGATTTTCATGGGTGGTAGCCGTTCGAAAACCTATAACCATGGACAGGCAATCATTCCCTTAATGTGCTCCCAGAGGTAACAGAAACGATCAGTGCTGAAGCGCAAGGTGATTACATTGATCATTAAGGAACCATCGATCTGTCTTCTGATGCTTACACTGGTTCCCTGTGTTCCCATGTTTATGTTGTAAATGTCAGAAAATGAATTCACTCATGTCACACGTATCTTTGCTATTAGTTCCTAAAGCGTCTACTGGTCGGTACACGAAATAATAATACGCGATCGGTCCCACTGAGTCCCTGGCGTTGTGTTTTGTCGGACTTGGCTAGGATTGTCACTCGCATCTGCACTTGCAAATGCTCCTCTCAGGTTTCATGCAGCACTGTTTAAAGGTGGAAGTTCACTAACTGGTGCGAAGACGTTTCCTTTCTCTAGTTGCTGGACTCCCAATCTTGTTGTCGCAAACACTGGTTGCTGAATTTCGCTAGGCCTTTTATTCTAAGTCCTCTTCCTTTTTTTCTCAACTTGTAATGTACAGTTGTCACTGTGTGTTCATAGGACCCTGGATATGCTCACAAGGTGAATGGGGTTGGTGACGCACGTTTCTGCGGCTTACGGTTTGATAAGCAAATGCGGTATTTGGTCCACCTAGCATCTCATTCTCACATCTCAGCCGCGCGAAATTCCCCGTGCGAAAAGTCTTCCACAGTGTCACAGTCCACCGCAAGCAATTTCTGTAGTGGGCACACTCCTAACGGCCAAACGCCAATTGTAAGGCATTGGTCATCTGATGGACAAATGGCCCGGAATGGGAACATGAAATTTTACCTTTAGAGCTCCAGGGACCTCTGAACGATTCCGACGGTCCTGTTTGAAGGGGACCTACAAGGTTTGAAATCCTTATCGATGCAATGTTTTCTGTTTTTCCTCGTTTTGTTATCCGAATATCGCGGATCCTCTCATTTTCATATCTTTTGATAGTCTTTCAAATAGCGTCCTGGTTTTTCCATACAAACTCCGCTAGTGGTGCACTGCAACGAAGTTTAACTCATCGTCATTTCAATACTGATTATATCTATTATCTAGGATTCATCATAAAAGATAATTTCTAAATTTTTGTATTTGTCAATCTCACTTGCAGTAACACGAGATATGCGCACTCGGATAGTGTGTAACAATAGAAAGACTGGCGTACCACTCCATGCAGCATCCAGTCATTGGCATGAGACATCCCTGTTTTCTGAGACTTTTGATATGCACATCCCGAAACTGTTCCTGGCTTTGAGTTCTCTTTATGTTTACTTGTATTCGAACAGCTCAGATCAAATGGTGTTCAAGCACCCCAGAGGAGACGCGCAAATGTAGCAAGCTCAGCGACGCTATTGCCAATGTGACCCAGCTGAGTACTCTGTACACACTTAATTGTACTAGTGGAGCTGACGAATTTCAATGTATGCAATACATCCATTCTGGAGAAGCCGATTTGATCAACTTAGACGCAGGTCTGGCAAACTACGGCAGCAACCTGTACAGTCTACGACCCGTTGCAGTTGAAAACTATGCTGCAAGCAATGCTAAGGAGGCCAGAGAATTGTTCTACTATGCCAATATGGTGGTACCAGCCACATCTAGCCCCGATCCAAACCAATTACGAGGAAAGGATGTCTGTTCAGCTGGGGCCGGAACAGCTGAAGGATGGACCATGCCTGTTGGTAAACTAATCGCAGATCTCAAAGCAATTCCAGTCACTCAGTGCAACAGCGTTGTACAAAATCTGGTTCAGTTTTTGGGAGATTCGTGCTTCCCAAACGCTTTGAGTGAAATCTTCAATCCATTTGGAGACAACACTGAAGAGATATGCCGCATATGCGCCAATCGGGGGCTACAGACATGGTGCACCACTCGTGACCGATATGCACGCAACCAAGGTGCCCTTAGATGTCTACGAGAATATACGGAAAACGTCGAATCTGTTATAAAGCCGGTAGCTGCGTTCGTTAGAGCACAAGAAATAGACTTGGCTGCGGCGGCTGAAGGTTTTCCCGTGGGGAACTACAAGTTGTTATGCCCAAACAGACAATCCGAGTAAGTGTGCATTCTCACGCGATGAATACAGTATCAGATTATCCATACATCACTGGTTTAGACACAAGATGCTGAAGCTGGTGTAATAGGTATCGTGCTCCGTCAGTGCATTTGGGCTAAAATGGCCCCTTGTAACTCAATCCCATGTGACAATTTTTCATCATTCCTCCGTTACTAACTAATTGGCTCCGTTTTCTCCAGCTGCTGTGGTTTTGCATCAAGTGTTACACATGTTATTAATCCAGTGAGCTGGGTTCTTCCTACGTCTCACCTCTGAGCCACTGACTCACTCAGCGTCTTGGTTGACTGCAGCCGGTTAAAACGTTCTCAAACCGAGCCAGTGTCATTCGTTAGTGCAATTCGGTGAACATTCATCGGTTCGGTTGATGTAAGTGCACCAGTGGTGTTTAGTTCATGATGGCAAATAAGTGCTGCGAGCAATGCTTTCCAACGGATTCTGTCAAGTGCGCTACCCGGGTTACATGAAGGATACACCCCCAAGGTAGCACAACAGATAAGCAAGCAAGTTGACACTAGCAAGGCGGCTTGGGTGTGTCCTCCGCGTGTACCACCTCCGTCGAAAAATGGTTCGAACGGCGATGTGCATATTAGTTCGCTACTTCAGTACCTCAGTCTAATGGCTGATTGATCCCGTTCTGAGGTCCGCGCTATGACGAGTTAGACCAAATCAGCCTGATATGAAACACTTCGATTGGGATTGGAAGCCGAGTCAATTCACTTACCACCAGACTCGTACTAATATGGTATGTCGCACCTGACGCGTATCTTTAACTCTGTGTAACGGACCGTAGAACTTTGGTGCGAATTTCAAGTTGTCAAAATCCCGAACTTCGTCACTATAGTTGCGTTTCGATTAGACCTCAACCACGTGCACCCCAAGTAGGCGAAATCGCCCATAGGATTGTTTGCACGGTCTATGCACACCATATTCCGCATGCCTCTGATTTTTTCACTTCATCCACTTTGTCGCTTATTATTTGTCGTATGGTCATCTTTAGCCCTCGTAAAAACATTGAAAGTACGAACTTCGGATCATTAAGTGCGCCTCACCATTCGGAGCAGGGGTGTGTGATCACAGGTTGCATGCGCCGCTAGTCAAGATACACATGCTACCTCGTCGCGTATTCCAGAATATACTTGGTTAATTAACAAAAATACCACGAGCTTTAGGTTTCCTTCACCCGATTAGTCAGATCCTCTGGGATTCTAAACAATCACTCCCACGCACTGTACACACTTCTAGCCAGCATAGTATCTATTTCTTCCACGCAGCCGGAATTCAAAGTTTTATTTTCTCACACCGTCTTAACCCAACTCCATCTTGTCCCATCTGTCTCGCTTGTTAGTCCACCCAAAAGCAATGTTGCACCAATGAGAAACAGTTTGCTTGAGTGCAAATGCGCCTTTATGTCTTCCTTGTCACGCTGCATCGTTCTCCGCTGACACTATGTTGTAGTATATCCGCAGTGTTAGTGAAAATTGCTGGAAATTCTCCCGCGTGGGTGTATAAAGCTTAGCTTGACTTGAATTGACGTCCAGCCAACCTCAATTGCTTACCGACCAGTAAGTACAAAATGTCGTTAGCTTATTAAACCTCTCACATCTGCTGCATTCTCTATCCCCGGTGAGCACACAATTCTAACAAATCCGGACTTGTGTTCAGAAGAAACTAATACAAACACTACAACTTCCTTGGCCGACCACCAGCCGTGAAGGAAGCAATGGTACTCCGCAAATTCACCTGACCTCAGTCACGTGATCAGCTGAAGGTCATCATGATCACAAGTTAATTTTCTGATCAATTGTTTCTTTGTTACACTAACGATTGCAACAGACGTTAACATAATGTATATTACTGTATGAGCCTGATGAAGAAGTAGTCGAAAACAATTGTTTGCTCAAAGCTTCGTGTTTTGCTTATCTTTCGAAACTTGACGTAACAAATGGGCATTCTACTTGAGTTCAGAATGTTTTGAACAACCTGCGAGTCATCCCCCAGCATAGCGATGTTATAGCATAGTCCAGGTCCACGACTCTGCTCCCGGGTAGGAGCTCAACTCCGCAGCTCTGGGCTCCTTCCAGTGCACGATGTAGGACATCTTTGATTGCAGAATTGATCAGATGCTTAGTGTTATCCTAGCTAATGACAAAAGGGTTATTGGCAACGCCCTCGTAGACTGAAAGTTACCTTCCACCAACCTACCTTAGCAAAACAGGCATTCCTTACAAATAGGCCTTGCAAATATGAAATGTGACGTTTTCAGAAAAAAGCTTTGAAATGGTTTGCCGACTAAAGACTACTCGCTGCCGTATAGCCTGTTCTTCGGTCGCTGCATTGATCGCCGTTGCAGGAAACATGTGGGGTTACGCTGCCCAATTTGTTTCATGCGGGACCATGAGCGTTCATTCCAACATATTCACTGATGAGGCAATATTTCAGTAGCACGGAACTGAGAAGCTGCATTTCCAGATAACATCTAATCCTCGCGGATACTGAGAATCACATACTGCACAAAGCGCGCTCATTGGCTCGAAAAAATGAAGGACAACATGTGGGAGTGGAAAACGTGCTTATAAAACACAACGTCATAAGAGACGGTACCTTCTGCGCTTTCTAACTTTACTTCTGTGTTTCCAAACCTTGCTGATCGGAAATAATTTTTTCAGGGGTAAAGCTGTTGCAACAAACACTGCTACCTATTGAAGATCCGATTTACAGTGCTTTATGAAATCTGATGTGCCACCGTGAGCCACAGAAAATTTGGATTTGCATTTGTCAACTATATGGTTGGCGACATCCGGTTTCGGATTTACCTGTCACTGTGGCCAGCCACAGGACGCCTGCGCCTACAGAGGGATCATGGGTGGCTTGCGCTGCACCACCCACAGCTCCATCCGCACACCCCATATCCAGTGTAGACCCGAAGGAATATGACCGGGAGGCATGTGGATGGGAACCACGTTTCATCAACGGAGCCGGCCCATACTCCTTCACAGGCAAACACAAGCATGCTGTATTTGGGAATCAAGCTCACACAAGGCGGTGGCTGGACCGTAGTCCGCTCCACACTGACTGCAAGGAACCACCCTTTGATCCTAACACGGCCACAAGGACCGTGCACTCCGTCCCCTCCATCAACGATCAAGTGTCTCCTAGATCCAGTATGGACGAGGTGGTGGGTAATAAACAGGTAGGCGCCTTGTCAGCATGCAAATCAAGCGCAGCCACACCGGGATGTCAAACAACAGCCAATTACTTGAAATGACATTATCAAATAAAATTTATCTGTTAAAGAATACGGCTACACCGAAATAACTCTTCGATAACTTAGCATGTGAATTAAGGTAATTATCAACGAATCCAAGGTAAGTACAAAGTCTCCACAAGTCACCCAAAATATACTACAAACACAATAAAGTTAACGACGGTAACCACAATTAGCGTAAGCAACGTGGCTAGTTAATAGATTACTCATGTAGGCAGAACAAAGCAAATAAAGTGGAGGGAAATTTATCCGGCTTAAAAAGACCTAGTGTAAATGTAGGTTGGTTTAGCCCAACTACGGTGAAGAAGCATCATGAATGTAACATCAGCCTCAGTATATATATGGTTGGTTGGCGGCATCCGGTTTCGGATTTGCCTGTCACTGTGACAAGGCACAGGACGCCTGCGCCTACAGAGGGACCATGGATAGCTTGCGCTGCACCACCCACAGCTCCAACCACATACCCCATATCCAGTGTAAACCCGAAGGAATAAGACCGGGAGGCATGTGGATGGGAACCACGTTTCATCAACGGAGCCGGCCCACACTTCTTCACAGGCAAACACAAGCACGCTGTATTTGGGAATCAAGCGCACACAAGACGGTGGCTGGACCGTAGTCCGCTCCACACTGAGTGTATGGAACCGCTCTTTGAGCCTAGCACGGCCACAACGACCGTGCACCCCGTCCCCTCCAGCAACGACCAAATGTCTCCTGGAGCCAGTATGAACGATGTAGTGGGTAATAGACAGGTAGGCACCTTGTCAACATACACATCAAGAACAACCATACCAGGGATATCAAACAACAGCCATTCACTTTAAACGACAAGCTGAAATAAAATAAATCCAATAATGCATACAGATACGGTGGCCTAACTCTTCGCTAAATTACCATATGAAGTAATTTGGTTAGCAACAAATCCGTGATAAGTAAGAAATGTCCACAAGTTACTTAGAATGCTACAAACGCAACAAAATTACCGAAGCTCAGCGCAATGAGTGTAAGTAACGTGGCCAGTTAATAGAACATTATTCAGGGAGGCAGAACAAACCAAATAAAGCGGAATGAAATGTATCCAGGTTAAAAAGACAGTTTAAGTGTAAGTTGGTTTAGCCCAACTGTGGTGAAGAAGCATCAAGAATGCAACATCAGCCTCAGCATGGGGCACACATACATACATGGTTGGCGGCATCCGGTTTCGGATTTGCCTGTCACTGTGGCAAGCCACAGGACGCCTGCGTCTATATATATATATATATATATATATATATATATATATATATATATATATATATATATATATATATATATATATATATATATATAGCCTGTGGTACATATATCGTAACATGGTAATCATGACGAAATAAGGAAACTGGATAGTAGTGGGTAAAGAACATGTACCCTTTCTTTGTCTAGTTGTCCACTCAAGGGACTGGTAAAATATGCAGGACTAATATAGTTTGTTAATCAACCTATTTTAGTCCTATACAAAAACAGCGTAGCTTACTTTCCCGTTGAAGGCAGTGCAGTACAAAATTTAATTTCTCAGACATCCTGTTTTGTGTACATAAGATGGTCTTTCATAATGACAAACAGTTAAATTGTACAGTATTATAAATCAAAACCCATTGTTCCCCCCTGTTAACTCTTTTGGAAAAATTCAGCCTCATCTTAAACGTTGCTGTAAGGATCGCTTTCAACATAGGT